GGGTAATGCTAGACCAGATGTAATCTGAGCCTCCCTGCAGCCCCATGAGGTGAGCAAATGTCCTGTTTGTCCCTGTTTTGCAAATGAGGACATAGGATGAGCAAAAAGACTGGGGGAGCTCAGCCTGTATACCTCCCTTCTGCTGGTAGGGAAGGAAGCGATAAGATACCAAAAATAAACTTCTCCCACTTCACAGTTTCCCTGTGAGTGAGGTCAGGAAAAGTTCAGAGTCGCCAGAGAATGTTGAAGAGGGTCCTTAGAGAAGGCCATTCATCTCATGGGCAGGTTATAAAATTTTTTCTTATTATTATGGAGAATTTCAAACTTACCTAAAAGGAGATAGAATATAACAAAGCTCTGTACCCCCCACCCAGCCCAAGCAACAACTCTCAACCACTCCCATCAAGCTACTTCCCCATCACTTATTATTTTGAAGCAAATCTCACCCATTGTATCGTTTTACCCATAAATATTTCAGTATGTATCTCTAAAACATTGTCTCTACATCGCAGTGATACTGATATTATGGGCCAAATAATTCTTTGTCACGGGGGACAGTCCTGTGTGTTGTGGGACGTTCAGCAACAGCTCTGTCCTCTGCCCAGTAGATGCCAGGAACACTCCCTCCTCCCTGTTTGACAACCAAAAATGTCTCCAGATGTCACCAAATGTCCCCTTTGGGGCAAAATCTCAAAACTGAAAACCAATGCTCTAATAGATAAGGGCTCTTTTGAGACAGAGTCTCACTGTGTTGCCTGGGCTAGAGTGCCGTGGTGTAGCCTAGCTCACAGCAACCTCAAACTCCTGGGCTCAAGCAATCCTTCTGCCTCAGCCTCCCGAGTAGCTGGGACTACAGGCATGTGCCACCATGCCAGGCTAATTTTTTCTATATATTTTAGTTGGCCAATTAATTTTCTTTCTATTTTTAGTAGAGACAGCGTCTGGCTCTTGCTCAGGCTGGTTTTCAACTCCTGACCCCAAGCAATCCACCCGCCTTGGCCTCCCAGAGTGCTAGGATTACAGGCGTGAGCCACCGTGACCAGCTGATGAGGGCTCTTTTAAAAAGAAAAAAAAAACTATGATACTATTATCACACCTAAAAAATTATAATTATTTCTTAATACAATCAAATATCCAGTCAGTGTTCACATTTCTAATTGTCTCATAAATGTTATAAGTGGATTTTTTCTCAAAACTTTTTTTAAAAATAAAAATCCAACTAAGCTCCACACATTTGTGACTGGATGATATGTCTTCTAGCTATCTTTTAATCTATAGGTATCCCCTCCATTTATTTATTTATTTATTTATTTATTTATTTATTTATTTATTTCTTAAGAAAGCAGGTCATTTAATCTATAGAATTTCACCCAGTCCAGATTTTTGCTGATTGCATCTCCATAGTGCAGTTTAACATTTTCTCTGTCCTCTTTATTAAATTGGTAGCTGGATCTAGAAACTTGATCAGATTCAGGTTCGCATTTTTGGCCAGAACACTTAAAGATGGCATTGTGTTCTTTGGTCAGAAACACCTTACTCCAGCTTGCTTTTGATGGAAAATAGAAAAGAAACACCTGATATAAACAGCCATTGATGACCACAGTCATTCTATTCCATCATTCTTTCTTCATTTATTCTTCTAAATTCTTCTATAGGAAGAAATTTCCCCTAATGAGCAATTTCTTTAATAATAGCTGCCCAAAGCTTTGTCCAAGTCCAGTAGAAAGATGCCAAGACGGATGGCCGGATGGCCGATGTCTGGCGTGGGCATGTGAGGAACAGTGGTGGTCACCTCTATCCCTAATCTAATTCACTCCTCTCTTTTAGAATAGAAGGCGCAGTTGCAAGAAATGAGATCATTAAGTGTGGTATGGGGACAAAGGGTTGAGTGAGATTCTGGAATCAGGACAGGTTCAGAATCAAAGTGGGATTTTTCTCTTTTTTTGTTTTTAATAATTCCCAGTGTTGACAACGTACAAGGACATGAGCACTTTCAGATATTATTTGTGAGAATATAATTTGGCACAACTTCTTTGGAGGACAATTTGACAATATATAACAAAAACCTTAAAAATTTGCTTACCCTTTGATCTAGAAATTCCACTGCCAGAAATTTATTCTAGGGATGTGCAGAGAGATGTAGTAAAGATTGTTCACTGTGAGGTCTGTAATAATAAATCATTGGAAACAACCTAAGGGCTTGACTATAGGGAATTAGCTAAACACAGTATGCTCTCCAATTGATGACTTTGCAGTCATTTGGATGTTACAAAATGCATGAGGACACAGAGAGATATTCATGATATACTCTTGAGTGAAAAAAGCAAGTCTTAAGTAGTATATTCAGTAAATCTTATTTCCTATTTTTTTAAAAAGGAAATATACATACATAAATATATGCATGGAAAAAAGGTCACAGTAAATTATCCAAAATATCAACAGAGGTTGTTGCCTGCTAGTAAAAATTAAGTTAATTTTTATTTTCTTCTTCTTGAGACAGAGTTCTTTGTTGCCCACGGCTGAGTGAGTGCCATGGCATCAGCCTAGCTCACAGCAACCTCAAACTCCTGGGCTCAAGCAATCCTGCTGCTGCCTGCCTGAGTAGCTGGAGTAAGGCATGCCACCAGGCCGCTAATTTTTTATATTATATTTTAGTTGCCAATTAAATTTTCTTCATTATTTATAGAAGAGGCGTCTCGTCCTTGCTCGGCTGATTCCAATCTGACCTGCGAAATGCATTGCCGCCTCGGTCTCAGAGAGTAGATTACAGGCGTGAGCCCCGCGCCCGTCTTCCTTTGTGTTTATGTGGCTTACTGAATTTTCTATAAGGAATCCCATATTAGTTTAGGGGTAATTTTTTATAAAAAATTGTTAATAGTTTACCAGATAAAATGTATGATGGACATGTCAATATGAACTAACTATTATTCTTGTTATCTGAAATCATAAAATTGAGCTGGTTTCTATATTTATTCGGTGCTAATCTGCAGCCTATTCTATTTTTAATTAATTTGTTTTTGTGACGAGAGTCTCACTTTGTTGCCCGGCTTGCAGTGGCTAGGCGTAGCCTGCTCACAGCAACCTTAATTCTGGGCTCAAGGCGATGCTTCCTGCTCAGCGCTCCGGCACTGGGAACTACAGGATGCCCACCACGCCGCTAATTTTTCCTGCTATTTTTTAGCTGTTCATTACTTCTTCTTTTTGGTAAGAGAAGGTTCGTCTTGCTCGGCGTCTCCAACTCATGAAGCTCAAGATCCGATCCACTGGCTCGGCCTACGATTTGCTAGCATTAGAGGCGTGAGCTACCGCGGCGCGGCAAGGCACTTAATCGTAAAAGTGAAGAGGAGTGAGCAGGACGCTGGGCCAGTGGCCGCTGTGAGGCACAGGAGAATTGGTTGTTGCAAGTTCTTTTAAATCAGAAAAATCGAGATCTTTGGTGGAATAGAAGGAAGATGGATTTGGGAGCACACAGTTCTTTCTCAAATCTGGTTACTGCACTGCCACCACTACCACCACACCACGACCACTCACCTCCTCACTCCCCTCCTCCTCCCTGGATATCGTGGGAGCAGTTACTGTCTCCCTACAAGCTCAATAATATTGTGCTATCTTGGTAAGGATCAAATGAGAACCCTGTGTGAAGGCACAGTTGTAAATTTCAAACTGCCTACAGCATGTTATTACCTGTTAGTATATTACACACACAAGGACATGTAAATGGAGCAACATCTGCCGCAGAAACCCGGATTGGTTGCTGGCAGCAGGTTTTGTGGCTTCTGGGTCAAAACTCAAGGTTTAGTCATTGCGACTGAACCATTTTCACATCTATCCAAATTGTTTTATGACCCTTTATAATGCATGGATCATTAAATATTGCCTGGAACACTTTGCGCATCGGCTGTTAAATTGCTTGGCGAGTCGGTGTTCAACCGTGGCTCGAGGAAGCTGTGTGTTTACGGAGTGTTTGCGCTCATAACTCCAGGGCCTCACCTTATACTCACACACTAGTCTCGGTACCTTGGAAAACTGCCTATTCTAGATGCATGAGCACAGGACGCCCTTGTGATGAAATTATAGCAGCGTGCTCTTCTTACTGGTCTCGTTACAAAAAAACAAAAACCATCAGTGTCTGCTAAGCCATTTAGAGGAGTCCCATGGCTGATTTTAGGATTGGCAGAGGAAAAATAATCAGAGGCGGGATTGTCAGAAAATGGCAAAATAAAATGAGAGGAAAAGAAATTAAGGGAGAAAGAGGAAAAGAGAGAAAGAAGAATAAAGAGAAGAGAAAACATCAGGAGGAATAAAACTAGATTATCATCCTATTTTACAGATGAAGAAACTGAGACCCAAAGGTCCACATTTACGTAACCAGTAAGTATCAGAGCTGTGTTTCAAACCCAAAAGAAATAAAATTCTCCCAAGAAGAATGAATTTTCCAGATGTCCAAGGATATAAAGACATTGCCTGTGTTTATGTCCTTCAGGTAGAGGGTAAATTTTGTGGAAAGATATGAAGACACTCAATTGGATGGAGAATGTTTTTTTTTTTTTTTTTTGAGACAGGGTCTCACTTTTTTGCCCTGAGTAGAGTGCCGTGACATAAGCCTAGCTCACAGCAACCTCAAACTCCTGGGCTCAAGCGATCCCACTGCCTCAGCCTTCCAAGAAGCTGGGACTATAGGCACGTACCACGACGCCCAGCTAATCTTTCTATTTTTAGTAGAGACAGGGCCTCACTCTTGCTCAGGCTGGTCTCACTCTTGACCTCAAGCAATCCTCTTTCCTTGGTCTTCCAGAGTGCTAGGATTACAGGTGTGAGCCACCACGCTCAGCCTGGATGGACAATTTTTAGAGTGAAAATGATCAAAGCCAACAAAATGTGTTATTGAAACTGGTGTACTCAGACATTGTTGGTGACAACAAAAAGAAATTTGTAAAATGTACCAAGAGTTATAACAATGTTATAAGTTTATTCCAGTTTATTATTGCTGTATAACAAATCTCTCTAAAACTTATCAGCTTAAAACAACATTTTATGGTGTTCATGGATTCTGTGTGTCAGAGATTCAGACAAGGCACAGTGGGGTGGCTCGTCCCTGCTCCTCGTTGACTATGGCTTCATCGGGGAAGACTGTGTGGCTGAGAGGACTCAGGGGCTGGGGATGGAGCCATCTGAAGGCTGAGCTGTGCTGGAAGTCCCAGATGGCCCACTCATGTGTCTGCCAATCGGTGCTAGAGATTAACTGGGAGTTCATCTGGCTGTGTTGGGGAGCATCTATCTATGGTCTGTCTAGCATGGTGGTCTCAAGGTAATTGGACTTCATGGCTTACTTCCCCCAGAGCAAAGACCACAAGAGAAAGAATCTGGCAAGCAGCTACCCGGCCTTTTCTGACCAGGCCTTGGAAGTCACAAATATCACTTTCACTGCATCCCATCAACTGAAGCAGTCACAAGCCCACCCGGAATCCAGAGGAGGGAATGTTTAGATGTCCCTTTTGATGGAACCCTGGCAAGATCATGTGGGATGTGAGATTTTGATGTGATCATCTTTGGAAGATATAATCTGCCACATTCGTTGACTCAGTAAATCTGAATTCAATCTTCAGGGAGGCATTCCATTTCCAGAAAATGATGCAAAGGGTAGAAAAAGCTATATGAATGCAAAGGTTCAGTGTGGTCTTATCTGTAATGGAAAAAAATGTATATAAACAATCTAAACATCCAACAACAGTTGTTAGATTATGAGGTGTCTGGTCAATAGAATATTATGCAGCATGAAAAGAGAAAGCTTCCCTGGTGAGGATTTTGATACATCTATCACTGAGCTCTATTCTCCTCCTGTCTTGACCACCGACTGTGAGCCCTGGCAGAGAAGGATGCCACCTTGGTCATCTCAGAACCCTTGCCCTGAGCACCTGAGACATGCGGGTGCCCAAGAAATTCTTACAAGTGAAATAAACTACATAGAAAAATGGGGAACATGTTTTCCATGTAATGCTAAATAAAAGTAGGATATAAAAATCATTCGATCAGGGTGAATTTATAAAATATTTTTTTTAAATTATATCTACACTTTGATTGCTATATAAAAAGTATACAGATGTTCCTCAATTTACAATAGAGTTATGTCCCAATAATCCCATTGTAAATTGAAAATACTATAAGTCAAAAATTTATTTCATACACCTAACCCACCAAACATCACAGCTTAACCTAGTCTACTTAAACATGCTCAGAACATGTACATTAGCCTACGGTTGGGCCAAGTCATCTAATACAAGCCTATTTTATAATAAAGTATTGAATATCTCATGTAATTTATTGCCTACTGTATTGAATGCATACCACTTTCACGCCAAAATAAAGCTGAAAAATTGTAAATAGAAGCATTGTAAATTAGGGACTGTCTGTATATATTTAGAGTCAAAGACCAAAAGGAAACACAGAAATGTGTAAGTACAGTTGCTGTTTACAGGGCTGAAATTATAGGTGACTTTTTTCTCCCTTCTGTGTTCCAGGCTTACTGTTGTTAATGTTCCTCATAATAATTTTTTTAATTGTCAGAGAGTTCAGGATAAAAAAAAACCAGCAGAGAGAAGGAGAACAGCAGAGAGAGAAGAGAATGTGTGAGGAGTGTATCAGTCAGCTATTGCTACATAACAAATCATCCCAAAACTCAGGATCTTAAACAGTCATCACTGATTGTTAAGCTTACTTGTGCGAGTCAGCTGAGGTTGGGCAATCCACACTGAGCTCACTCATACATCTGTGGGTTGGTTGAGGAGCTGCTCTACACAGGGCTTGTCTGGAGCAGCTTTTCGGGAGCAGCTGTGCTCCTTGTGTCTGTCATCCTCTTCCTGTGACCAGTGGCCCATGGGGGATATCTTTTCTTCATGGTCATGGCAGAGGTATAAAAAGGCAAGCAGAAACACATGAGGTCTCTTGAGACCTGAGCTCAGGACATGAACATATTTACTTTGGCATCATTGGTACAACCAAATCCCAAATCGAGAAGCTGGTGGCATTCACAGCGAGAAAACACTGCAAGGTTACATGGCAAAGGATGTGAATACAGTGAGGGGTGATAAATAGGGAGCAATAACATCATCTCCCACAGGCAGGGAAAGGGAAATGAGGGAGCAGACAGGATGAGAAGCCCCTCACAGGAGAATGTTCAAGGACACAATGGGATTCCAAGAGCAGGACAGAATCGGACACTCCAGAAATAGTGCCATGAAAATGCAACTTGTTAGTGAGCTGGCATGATACAGAGGAGAGAATACTGGCGTGGAGTGCCACAGTCCTCAGCCTGAATCTTAGCTCTGCCACATATTGTGTGTTCTCCCCGAATAACCCATCACTGCACGCTGCAGGGCATGAAGGACCAGAACCAGCTCTGCTGGGCATTAGGGCAGCGTTTTCCAAGTGTAGTCTTAGAAACTTGCCTTTTGTGGGGTATGGTATGAAGGGGGAAAAGAAGTTCCTAGGTCAATTAGCTTTGGGAAATGCTGGGTTAAATAATACCAAAGCAGATTTCTTTTCTGCAGGACTTCTCAGAACATTGTGATCATAGTTGTACACTGTGAAATCTCCGATGAGGGGGATGTCTGCAGCATTTCCTAAACTTAATTCGTCCTGGGATACCTTTTCCAGCTGGGAAAGCCTGCATCAGGAAATGAAGCATCTGTCCACGGAGCAGTGAAACCACAGACAACCAGCAAGGTCAGCCTCAACCTGCAGTTCTAAATTTTCACCACCAACCACAGCACTGTGGAAATTCTGTCCTTTCATGCCTTATCCTAAATAGCTTAGAAACTGCAGTCACTGCTCCTCTGTAGTGTCCCCATTCATCCTCGCTGTGTGAAGCAAATGTCCAAATTCTGTGGGGTGTTAGGTAATCTTCCCAGGCTGTGAGAAGGAGGTCACCTTGTCCGGACTAGGGGATGTCGCCTTCCCCATTCCCATCTTTCCCCTCTCAGTGGACAGGGTCCCTCCGCAGCTGAGTTCAGTAAATTTCCAGAGAGCTGGCTTTCCTGGGTCCTGCGATTACCCTTTTGTATGTTAATGAGCTTTTTTAAAAACCCAGGATAAGTTTTAAGACTACAGCTAACAGCTATAAGGAAGGGTCAGGATCAGGGCAGACCAAGCCTTAGCAAAGCAGCAGACTCTGGGGAAGAGGCTGTGGGCATCGTTCCAGAAGGCCCAGCTCCAAAGTTCACATGTAATACAAATGCAAATCAGTTATTCCCTGCTGTTGCCACCTCCCAAATGGTGAATAATTCCATCTCAGAAAGTGGCCAGATAAAATGACACTCGGTTCTCACTCAAGCTTATCCTGGGTCTTTTATTCTCAAGTGCGCTGAGAAAACTGAGGCTTTCACGAACTCTTTTAAGTAAAATGAAGACATTCCCAGGATGACCCCAAGACAGAAACCACGGGCACCAGTGAGTCTTTACCAAACGCCTACTGTGCGACGGATGTTGTGTTCCTCGAGCCGGAGAGAAGAGCCAACTGCACACGAATGCAGATCACTGGAATTCATTCCAGCCAGTCCTAGGACCACCACCAGCTCCTCCAGACTATCTGCTCAGTTGCAGTTTGGGAAACTGAGCAATGTCTGCAATGTACGGAATCTGATCCGCCCAGACTTTATCAACCCGCTCAGGCAGCTGCAGCTGTGGGTGAGGCCCCTGGGAAGACTGACTTTAGTATGAAGCTAGACATGGGTTTGTCTTTCATTCAGCGTACTTGAAGGGAGCAGGCAGTGGAGATAGCAGAAAAAAGGCTGGCCCGGTGCTCTGTGGGTGGGCGAGGTGGGCCTTTTTTCTAGGAAGCAGGGGACCTGGCTGCAGAAACTGTGGAGTGGCCTGCAGCTCTGGAACTTGGCTTTCTGGCAGGAGGCTGTGGGGCAGGGGTGTTGAGGAAGAGAGGCAGCCTGCTGCAGTGGGCTGTGGTCTGGCAGTTGTGGCCTCACCTCTGACAGGCTGGGCCATCTCACCAGGTCATTTCCCTTTTCTGACCTCAGCTTCTTTGTCAGTGAAAAATGAGATGCTTGTTCTAAATCTGTCGGGATTTTTTTTTTTATTGTGGTAAAATACATTAAAATTTACCATTACTGACATTGAATACATTCACAATGTTGTACAATCATTACCACTATTTTTTCCAGGACATTTAATCATCCCCAAAAGAAACCCTATATCCATTAACCCACTCCCCATTAACCCCTCCCCCCTGGCCCCTGGCAATCACTAGTTGGCTTTCTGTCTCCATGGATTTGCCTATCCTGGATGTTTTATATAGATGGAATCACACAATATGTAGCCTTTTGTGTCTGCCTTCTTCCACTTAGTGTGCTGTGAAGTTCATCCATGCTGTAGCACGTATCAGTACTTCATTTCTTTTTCTGGCTGAAGAATATTCTATTGCAGGAATATACTATGTTTGTTTATCCATTCATCAGTTGATGGACATTTGGGTTGTTTCCATCTTCTGACTATTGTGAATAGTGCTACTATGAACATTACAAGTTTTTGTTTGAACACCTGTTTTCCATTCTTTTGCATATACACCCAGGGGTAGAATTGCTGGGTCATGTGGTAATTCTGTGTTTAACTGATAAGGAACTGCCAAACTGCTCACCACAGTGTCTGTGTGATTTTACGTTCCCACCAGCAATGAAAGGGGCTTCCAATTTCAACCCATCTTTGCCAACATCAAAAATTTTTTTAAGCATGTAGGGCATTTAGTAATCAAATATTTTCTTCTAATGAAAGCTTTCTTGGAAACCCACACTAATAAAACAGATTTTTTAAAAACTGCTACAGGTGACAGCACTTCTGAGGAACCTTGTAGGGCTCCAAGAATACAATTTAGAAATCACTTGCTCCAGAGGGTTTTTTCTTCTTTTTTTTTTCCAAACATTTTTATTTAATTTTCTAATTTTTATTTTTCTTTTCTTTTTTTCCACTAAAACAAAGTCACTGCCATTGAAACTCCAGAGGGTTTTGGTGGAGCCTTCCCTGCATGGAATCTGAAGACCCCATTTCCCCCATCTCCCTCCAAGATCGGCCTGGTCCCTGGTGCTATAGTATTGCTTGAAGAAGGTTCTTCCCATCCCTATTCTGTGCTTTTAGGGAAGACCTGAGGTTACAGCGCTCCTCAAGACATGGCATGATATTGACATGAAGAATCACCTGTCCCCGGTGGATTCCAAAGGACAAAGTTAAATAAGAAAACAAGGAAATTTTTTTCTAAAGTAGAGAAATTAATTTTTTTAATCTAAAAACTTGTAAAAATTAAAAATTAAAAATTAAAAAAAGAATCATCTGGTTCTTATGAAAATGAAGATTCCGGGGCCCTGCCCCAGGCTTATAGGATGGGAATCTTGTTAGGAGGAACCCTGGAATTTGCATTTTTCACATCCTTCCCAGATGATTTTGATGCCCTGGAATCTGAGGACCACTAACCTGGAAAGGACTGAGAGGTCAGAGGTGAGAGAGTAAACAACAGGGGCTGACAGAGGCCAAGGGGCCACCACCTCCCTGAGCCACCGTGAGCTCCGTGGCTCCTTGAGGGGGAGGGAGGCATTGGATTTTACTTTGGGATCCAGGTGCCAACTGGGGCTACCTCCAGGTCATCTTGGCATCACTTCCCATCCACAGGACTGTGAAGACTAGTCTCCAAGGACAAGGACCCTCTTGTGCCCCTCAGGAACTGTGCACAGTGTTTACGCATTTCCAAATGCTGTTATTATTATTTTTTTTTTAATGATGCTTATTATGGTTACTTTTTCCAAACTGGAAAATTTCAAAAATAGCAAATCAGTCATAAAGCAATGACTGTTTATATGAGCTTAAGCAGCATTAGGCAATGCCTCCTTTGTGCTGAGAATCAACATTATTTGCTTCGGGAATCTTGCCCAGATTTCTGTTAACTCATTCACACACAGTTTCTTCTCCCAGCCTGTGACTCAGTGAATTTTTCCCCAGCTGGGACAAGGCAAAAGAAAAATTAGCACACACAGACCCAGACTCATGGGCTGAACTCAAGGGCCATGGAAAGTCCCCTCCTCCACCCACCCCCAGAGCAAGAACCCCTCCTGCTGGGGCTCACCCAGGAATGGGTAGCTCCCCCTTGTTTTAGTTAGCCACTGCTGGGTAACACATCTTGCCAAAACTTAGTGACTTAAAGCCACCACCATTTTATTAGCTCTCAGCTCTCTTTGGATTGACTGAGCTTAACTGAGCAATTCTGTTCCATGCAATATCATTTGGGCTGCAGCCAGCGAGGTGCTTAGCTGGGTTGAAAAGTCCAACATGGCTCATTCATGTGGCTGGTAACTGATGCTGGCTCTCAGCTGGGAACTCAGCTAGGCCTGTTAACTGAAATGTCTACACCCAGCCTCTTCACGTGGCTTGAGCTTCCCACAATATAGCAGCTGGGATTTGAGCAAGAGTATCCCAGGAGCAAGTGTTCTAAGAGGGAGGAAGTGATTCAAAGCACTGATTTGGGATTCAGTCCTAGCTCTAAGGCCTTGGACAAGTTACTTAATCTCTTGAAACCTCAGCTTCCCTATCCACCAAGTGACAATAATGCCTTCTGCATGAGTTTTCTATGAAGAGTAAATGAGAAAGCTTATGTAAAAGCCCTCACACAGTGCTTCATAAATGGGAGTGGGTTGTGATCAGGGACATACTGACACCTCATCCTGGGATTACAGCTTGACAGTACATGCTGGATCTCTCTACTCTTTCTCCAAAGTTCACACAAATTCCTGAGTTGCCATGTGGACTTGAAGAGAAGAGGGCGGTTACTCTCTCATGGGATCCTATAGGACTAGGTGCAGAAATCAGAAACTATGACATTACTCCTTGGATTGTATCTTA